TTCAACAATATCAGCAGAACTAAATTAAAAAGTCTTTCATTTCTCCTCTGTTTTTCTACTCTAAATTGATGTTGGTTTCTGCTTATCAAGCAAACTTTATCACAAGTTAGGCCTTGTATTTATCATGTCAATGAGTTTTCATTAACAGAAACTAGACCCATATTAATCCCACTTGATTGGTGAGGATCCCATTTGGGAGAAAAGAGTGCTCAGAGGTCCTCTCGAAATGAAGTGATTTATTGCTTCATGAGTAAAAACCAACTCAATTATGTTTCATTTTATATTTTCCCCAAGTTCTTAAAATTATTTTATTGAAAAACTCTTGGTAAAAGGTTATGGTCATGATATTAGCCATCTCTGCTAAATAATACTAGTCTAGAAAGTTCATCAGGAAATAGAACTCCAGTACTATGTTTAAGAAAAAATTTTGGCCTGGTACAGTGGCTCACGCCTGTAATCCCAGAACTTTGGGAGGCTGAGGCAGGCATATTGCCCGAGCTCAGGAGCTCGAGGCCAGCCTGGGCAACATGGCGAAATCCCACCTCTACCAAAAATACAAAAAGTAGCCAGGTGTACTGGCAAACACATGTGGTCCTTGCTATTCAGGAGGCTAAGGTGAGAAGATGGCTTGAACCTGAGAGGCAGAGGTTGTAGTAAGTCAAGATCACGCCACTGCACCTGGGTGACAGAGTGAGACCCTATCTCAAAAATTAAAAAAAAAAGAAAAAAAATTTTAAGTTTATCAAGAAAGGACAGCCGGGCACGGTGGTTCACGCCTGTAATCCCAGCACTTTGGGAGGCCAAGGCGGGCGGATCACCAGGTCAAGAGATTGAGACTATCCTGGCCAACATGGTGAAACCCCATTTCTACGGGGGAAAAAAAAAAAAAAAAAATTGGGCATGGTGGCGCGTGTCTGTAGTCACAGCTACTCGGGAGGCTGAGGCAGAATTGCTTGAACCCGGGAGGCGGAGGTTGCAGTGAGCCGAGATCACGCCACTGCACTCCAGCCTGGCGCCTGGTGACGGAGAGAGACGCTGTCTCAAAAAATAAATAAATAAAAGTTTATTTATCAAGAAAGGCTACAGTCACATGAGTTTTACTTAAAATTTAAAATGCAACCAATAACAACTCTTCTATATTTTGCAATATTATCAACTGTCCATTCAAATGCACCAGTACTTCAATTTTAAAATTGGATGGAATAGTCCCTGGATTTATGTTTAAATCACTGTACCTATAGCTGATTGGAAATTTTAACAACCTAAGCATTCAGCAGAAAAGGATTATTTTAGAAAATCACATATTAAAAATGCAAGCAGTTAATATTATCAATACAATGAAGATATCAACACTGACAAATTCTACCTAACATTGTCTCCAGCTCTGTGGCACTTGTCATCTAGCATACCCATCCATAGGTTTATTTTTATCATCTATTTATCCATCTTCCCTTATTCCCTATAGCATTTTAGTTCTGTTAAGGCAGAATTTTTTTTTTTTCTTTGAGACAGGCTATTGCTCCAGGGTAGGGTGCAGTGGCATGACCACAGAGGGTCACTGCAGCCTCAACCTCCCAGGCACAAACAATCATCCCACATCAACCTCCTAAGTAGCTAGAACCATAAGCAAATGCCACCACAGTTGGCTAATTTTTGAAGTTTTTGTAGAGACAGGGTCTCCCTATGTTGCCCAGCCTGGTCTAGGACTTCTAGGCTAAAGCGATTCTCCGGCCTCAGCCTCCCAAAGTGCTAGGATTACAGGCGTGAACCACCATGCCCAACCATGAGGCAGATATTTTCATCTAGTTTTTTTTCAGTGCTGAATTCTCAGCATCTAGGGCAAGGGTCCCCAACCGGGGCTGTGGACCCATCTGTGGCCTGTTAGGAACTGGACCACATAGCAGGAGGTGAGCAGCGAGTCAGATTCTCATAGGAGCAAAAATGCTACTGTGAACTGTGCATGCAAGGGAACTAGGTTGTACATTCTTTATGAGAATCTAATGCCTAATGATCTGAGTTGAAACAGTTTCATCCCAAAACCATTCCCCCTTCCCATCAGTGGAAAAAATGTTTTCCACAAAACCCATCCCTGGTGTCAAAAAAAGTTGGGGACTGCTGATCTAGAGCAATGCCTAGCATATAGCAGATGTTCAATAAACATTAGTTGAATTCACTAAATGAATGCACAATATCTGAAAAAAGATGTTGAACTTACTACACCATTTGACTTGGCAAGGTGATAAGCTTGTGGGCAATACTGTTTTTGTTTGAAATACTAGCCACATTATCCAAAGTTGTTTGGGTACATTTCTACTACATATTTATACCTACACAGACCTGTTTCTAAAGTCTTCAAGTAAGGCAGAGAAGCCTTTCAAAATATATTAAATATATACACACTTGCTTAAATTTCTTTCCTTTGGAGTCTACTTTCTAGTTAAATCATATCCAGAAAAAATAATGTATGGGAAGTTTCCCCTAGTAATTCCTTCAAGTACTGTAACATTTTTTGGAAATGTTCTAACTAATCCACAAAACTGCTAGCTATGTTTTCTACAAAAACACAATGTATAAGCCACTGGACTAACCATTACGGTCTAAACCAGGAATTGTCAACATTTGATAATGAATGGCTGTCATGACTTTGAGGAAGACAGTGCCTTTGGTAGAGGTCAGGGATGCTGCTAAACATCCTACAGTATACAACCCCCTATCACAAAAAATTATCCAGCCCAAAATCAACAGTACCAAGGCTGTGAAACCCTAGTCTAAATACAAGGTTTAACCACACCAGTGAATGCACTATCCTGCTACCACAGAAAAATGAAACCACTTATTAAAAACAAAAGCTGAAATACAACTGCAACAAGGCTTCCTCCATGATCTTAAAAGCAGTAACTCTGTCATGTATTTGTGAACATTAAAATAATATCATATTATTTATCTACAGCTGGGTGCTATGGCTCATGCCTGTAATCCCAGCACTTTGGGAGGCCAAGGTGGGTGGATCACTTGAGGTCAGGAGTTCGAGACCAGCCTGGCCAACATGGTAAAATCCCATCTCTACTAAAAACACAAACATTAGCCAGGTATGGTGGCACGTGCCTGTAGTTCCAGCTACTGAGGAGGCTGAAGCACAAGAATCACTTGAACCTGAGAGGCGGAGGTTGCAGGGGGCCAAGACTGTGCCACTGCACTCCAGCCTGGGTGACAGAGCAAGACTCTGTCTCAAAAAATAAAAGAAACAAACAAAATTCTCTACAATAAATAAAGGGCAGAAAGGGCCAGGCAAGGTGGCTCATGCCTATAATCCCAGCACTTTGGGAGACCAAGGCAGGTGGATCACCTGAGGTTCGGAGTTCGAGACCAGCCTGACCAATATGGTGAAACCCCATCTCTATTTAAAAAAAAAAAAAAAGAAGAAAAAGAAAGGAATCTTTGTTCAGAGATCTAGACACTTTCTCAAAAGAATGACTGAAGAATGAACAAACAGATGACATTACAACATAAATGCAAATATCACCTCAAATACTACCATACCTAGCTGCATAGCTATTAAAGAAATGGGTATACATGTAAGTACATGTGCATACATACACACGCTAATGATTATGTATGTATAAGTGGAAAATAGAAGACGACAGTGGATTTCTCATATTAAACATGAAAGCACTTATGCACCATAAGCATTTTTGCATATCTTAAATTCCTTCACAAGTGAATGTTAACATAAGAATAATTAATAAGATGCATGCCGTAATTCCATGAATGTCAACATAGTTGATGATGTTGTCATAATTTTAAATGAAAACGAGGCCAGATACAATGGCTCACACCTGTAATCCCAGTGCTTTGGGAAGCTGAGACGGGATTGCTTGAGCTCGGGAGTTCAAGACCCGCCTGGGCAACAAAGCAAGATCTTGTCTCTACAAAAAATAAAAAATTTAAAAAATTAGCCAGCCATGGTGGTACATGGCTGTAGTCCCACCTACTCAGGAGGCTGAGGTGGGAGGATCACTTGAGCCCTGGATATCAAGTCTGTAGCGAGCTAGGAACACACCACTGCACTCCAGCCTGGGCAACACAGCAAGACCATTTCAAAAACAAAAAACAAAAAACGACAACAAATAAATAAAAGAAAACCAATTGAAATTATGATCCCAGTGAAAAATAAATAGCTTCTGATAGATAGAATCAGTGAGTCAATGACTTTGCTTCCATTAAATCTCATTCCAATTATCAATTTAAAAATTTTCATTCAGGACTGAAAGATTATCTGACGCTTGGAACTTTAAACATGTGTCTGCAATTCAGCTAACAGAGGGAACATGTAAACCTATGACTATAAAGAGAATAGCTCTAGAGTTATTTTAAAAGGCTCAAAAAAATTTTACCATATCGATTTCTGTTCATATTTAATAAATGCAAAATGCAGGCCAGGCACAACGGCTCATGCCTATAATCCCAGCACTTTGGGAGGCTGAAGCAGGTGGATCACGAGGTCAGGAGTTCAAGAACAGCCTGGCCAATCTGGTGAAACCCCATCTCCACTAAAAAAAACACAAAAATTAGCCGGGCATGGTGGCGCCTGTAGTCCCAGCTACTCAGGAGGCTGAGGCAAAAGAATCGCTTGACCCTCGGAGGCAGAAGTTCCAGTGAGGTGAGATGGCACCACTGAACTCCAGCTTGGGTGACAGAGCAAGATGCCACCTCAAAAAATAAAAATAAAAAAGGCCAGGCACAATGACTCACACCTGTAATCCTAGCACTTTGGGAGGCCGAGGTGGGTGATCACCTGAGGTCAGGAGTTCGAGACCAGCCTGACCCATCTCTACTAAAAATACAAAAACTGGCTGGGTGTGGTGGTGCATGCCTGTAATCCCAGCTACTCAGGAGGCTGAGGCAGGAGAATCAATTGAACCTGGGAGGCAGAGGTTGCACTGAGCCAAGATGTACCACTGCATTCCAGCCCAGGCAACAAGAGTAAAACTCACCACAAAAAAAAAATAAAAATAATTTTTAAAATAAAAAAATAAAAGCAAAATGTTTATTAGGTGTCTCAATATAAACGTTTGAAAAATTCCGCAGAAGCGCGAACAAGGCCGCCAGATGTGCAGGCAGCGGAGGAGGAGGAAGAGATGGACCTCCCGGAATCGGCCTCAAGGGTCTTCTGCAGCCGCATCATGAGCAAGGTGAACACAGATGACGTCAACGTCATCATCCTGGCCCAGAAGAACATGCTGGACCGCTTTGAGAAGACCAATGAGATGCTGCTGAACTTCAATAACCTGTCCAGTGCCCGCCTGCAGCAGATGAGCGAGCGCTTCCTGCACCACACGAGGACCCTGGTAGAGATGAAACGGGACCTGGTCAGCATCTTCCGCCAGATCAGGACACTGAAAGGGAAACTGGCCCAGCAGCACCCGGAGGCCTTCAGCCACATCCCGGAGGCATCCTTCCTGGAGGATGAGGATGAAGACCCCATCCCACCCAGCACCACGATCACCATCGCTACCTCAGAGCAGAGCACGGGCTCCTGTGACACCAGCCCTGACACCATCTCACCCTCCCTGAGCCCCGGCTTCGAGGACCTGTCCCATGTCCGGCCCAGTCCCCCAGCCATCAATGGGCGCAGCCAGACAGATGATGAGGAGATGGGCGAGTAGCCCTGCTGCCTGGTGCCTTGAGGGTCTCAGGGCAGCGGCATACAAGGTGGCAGCAGATGACCCTGCCTTGTTCTGTCACCCAGGGTGCCTTTGTTGCCCCATTCTGTCACCCAGGCTCCCAGGGGGACAGGGCTCTCTCGAAGGGTGTGGATTGCTGAGCGGGGTCTTTCATTCTGGCTCCTTCCTTCCTCAGAACACATCTCCTCTGCAAGACTCCTCTGCCATGCCAGGGCATGCCCATCCCAGCAGGAGTTGCGGGGCTGGGCACGGGAATTTTTCCAGAGCTGAGCCTCATGTCTGCTGTGAATAATGCTTAAAAAGGTTCCCAGAGACCAGAGCCAGATGTCCGCCACCTCTGGTCAGGACCTCCTTGAGGCGCACAAGCACGGTCTCGTGTGAGTTCGCCCCCGCTCACCCCTGCACCCGCTAATTCTGCTTTTCCTGCCCTTTCCTCTGTAAAAGTATCAAATACTTTCTCCTCAGTATCTCAAGGAAGTTTCTGAAATAGGTCAAAGGCTCAAGAGGAAGGCTGGAGGGCCGTCCATTCAGCCCTGAGCGTGCTGAGGCCTGTTTCTCGGAACACAGGTTAGTGGAACCTGAGGGCCCAGTAGGCCTCTCTGAGGGCCTCCATGGAACAAACGGAGCCACTCGGGAAAGAATTTAATGGGATATTTTTGTACCCGATGTTTACAGATGCTATTGGGAAGCTATCAATAAAAAGACACCATTACTAAAAAGGGGAAAAAAAAGAAAAAAGAAAAATTCCTGTAAGAATAAAATGAATTCAAAAATTCAAAACAAAAAAATGTAATATTTGGGGGGAGAAAAATTAAAGTGACACTTTGGAAAAAGGGTAGCCTTACTAATAACGTTTTGTTTTGAAGCCTGTTTTTTGATCCACGTTATAGAGTAAAAGTACAGCAGTGAATCAGGTTAAGTTCAAAGTGAGCCTTATGATTTAGCTGCACAGAAAACTTGTGTAAGAGGGTCACAGAACGTCTTTGCATTGACCCTTATGTATGAATCAGAGACACCTAACTAATTTAGGCTCATAGGAATTTAAAATTTAAGAAGAAGATGGATAAACACTTTCAAAAGAAAATACACTTTCTCTGACAACATAATACTTAAGGATATATACACACACATTATAGAATGCCCAGCTGTGATAGAGATAGGTATAAAGGAAGTAGTTATAATTCTTAGCATAACTGAATTGCTTTAGAAGACCCGATTCAAAAATAATTGAACTCCATAATACCAAAAAAGCCTGAAAAGGTAATTTTAAAATTCAAGAAATATATAACGTTATATGCCAACTTTACACATTTTCCCTATATAATGAAGCATGTCCCTCCATTACATACACATGAATACCATTTGGCTCTAGGAACAGAAGCCTTTCATCACTTCTTGGTTCTTTTACCTTTCTGCTGCCTCTACCATTATTTTTCCTGTTCCTATTCCACTCTAGCTAAGCACTACTTTTAGTCACCACCAAAAAAAACCCGACAAAGATAAATCTTTTTTTGTTTCTTTGGCTTAGAGTCTGATGTTCAATTTGATATTCATTTCCTTTAGGTAAGCGTCCAAGAACAAGCTTTAGGTATATTCCAAGCCTAGAATCAAAGTTGTCTTCTTGCTTTTTTGCTAGGAAATTCTACCAAACCAGGGATAAGTAACTCTAATATTAGTAGTATCACCACTAAGCAACACCTTTGGCTACTATAGGACATTATGCCCCCACACACATTACCTTACATAATTTTCTTTTTTTTTTTTTTTTTTTGATGACCCTCCTACTCCTTGTTCTTGTCTCTTCCTTTTCCTCTTCACCCTGTATCTTAGGCTAGTAAGACCAATCACAAAAAGTAAATGGTACTAGAGGGATCCAGGAAGTTGCATTTCCCTTGACAAGATCATACAGCCCCAAAAAGCAAGTGAGAAAATAACAAATATCTAAAATACTATACTTACTGCTTACATGTCAAGATCTCTAAAAGGTAAAGACTATGACATTAACAATAAATGACCTACTGATAAGTATCACATTATGTTACCTTGAGAAAGCTGCATCAAGTGAATATGTAAACTGCCAGGGATAACAGGTTCAGGAAGTTCTTGAAGAAAAAATCTAAGAAGGCTAATAGCTGAGGGAACATCTGCTTCCTTAACCAAATCCACCTCTTCTCCGCTGTCGTATCTCTGCCGAAGCCACTCCACTGTCTCAGCATTCCCATTGACTTGAAAAAGTCCTTGTTGCTCCAGACCTCCTACATTAGTTCAAGGCAATCATTAAATGTGCTGCAATGTCAACTGCTTGACCACATATATTCATTCTCCAATTAACTTAAAATACTCGTGCTTTTGGAAAGCCTTTCTTGGCTCCCATGATTTGACTAAAAACCTTCAAATTATACATCTAGAAACATATTATCTCTGTTCTGAGGGCTATTCTATTTTATCCCACCCCTTATATCCATTAAAAATATTCCTATCACCCCCACTAAAACTTGTTCTAGGCTGGGCAACTGTCATTTCCAAGTATATGAATTTAAGTAAAAATCACACTAAAACATTAAAAAGAATTCCTAGGTTTTCCTATGTTTTGGACTTTCCATACTAAAAAAAAACAAAAAATTAAAAATCCAAGGTCAAAAAGGGTAAGTTGTGTTTATTAAAACAAAAGCTAGCCCTCAAAGTAAGGAAATGTATACCATGTTCCTCAATATAGTCCACAACGTGGCGGACTATGAATGGAACCTCATTGTCTGGATGTCCTCCCTGCTGCAGCTCATCAAGTGGAATTCCAAATATTTTGTTAGCAAGAACGGAGTTGCAGTTACTCAAGGAAGGGGAGGAGCTCTTCCTCATATCTTTTTTGCAGCCAGAAATCAAAGCTGTCTTTTCTGCCAAACGAAAGACAAAAAAAAAAAAAGACTATAATGATTAACAGGTGGCAATATGACTAGATACATTAAAGAAAAATGCTTTACACCTGAATGTGTTCTCATCTATTTAAGTATGTTCCAGTTATCAGGCCTATAGTGTATTCTACAGATGAAGTTCAGTATAATTACCTAAACATATTCCCTATTACGAACAGTTAATGCTGAATGCTCCCTTTAATGCTTGCATATTTATCAACAATGGCAAAGTTAATCATCCAAGATTTAGCAAGAGACATTGCCTCAAAGACAAATTAAGGAGCAAATCTGGCTCCAAGAAAACCTTTGCTGAACAAGCCTATTAATGACACAGGTAAATCCAAACCCATTCTGGACTGTGCCATATAAATTTCATCTAACCCCTCATAAACCCAAACAGGAGAGAATCCTTCCTAAAAAGTGATGATCTAATAAACGCTTTTTATCAATGATGGGCTAATAAGAACAAGATTAACAAGTTCTTATTTCTACATGACAGAGCAGCTATAATACATTTTTATAAAAAAGAAATTTTTCAAGTCTGGACAACAACTTTCAATAAGAGATGTCCTTTTATCAACACTACTATTCTTTTTTTTTGGGACAGAGTTTGATGCTTTTTGCCCAGGCTGGAGTGCGATTATGCCACCTCGGCTCACTGCAACCTCCGCCTCCTCGGTTCAAGTGATTCTCCTGCCTAAGCCTCCCATGTAGCTAGGATTACAGGCACGAGCCACCATGCTCGGCTTGTATTTTTAGTACAGATGGGGTTTCACCATGTTGGCCAGGCTGGTCTTGAACTCCCGACCTCAGGTGATCCGCCCACCTTGGCCTCCCAAAGTGCTGGGATTACAGGCACGAGCCACTGCGCCTGGCTTCAACACTGTTATTTCATAATTACCCAAAAGAAAAATTGTCAGAGCCATCCAGTTTAGAAGAAATAGTTACTTGCCCTAATTTTGCAGGAATTGTGATCAGTAAAGAAGTGGGAGAAAACAATGTCTCAGATGGCCATTTCCAATATCTGACACATCAGAGAACAAGTAATCCCAAGAAAAATTTGTTTTCTAAAATAAACACACTATATTTATTACTTTATGTAGGAAAAGAGTATTTGTAAAAGAAAGAAAAACTCAAAGGTTGTTAATGAACAAAATGACACCAGCTGGTCTTTTCTCCATCACACAAGATAAATAATTTCTTTCTCACTGCAAGAGAAGGACAGTAAATCACGAAGATAAGTCTACTAAAATTCTTAAATTTACAAAAATAAGGTCCACTGGATCAAATGTATATCCACTGGTAGAGTGTCACAACATGACTAGGAAACAATGCAGCCAACTTAAAGGAAAAGAAAAAATTAACTTAGGGACAGCAAAATGCCATACATTTACATAGTCTCAGACAAGCAACATCCATTCCTCAATGTATCTGGTGCCAGCTAAGAACTACAACACCTCAAGTTAAATCAAATAGTAGCTACAGGGGACAAGTTCCAAAATCTCTATGAATTTATAGAGCATGACAGTTACCATTTCGAAAACTTACCTTTCAGTACTTAAATACCTAAGTTTAAAAAATGGCTTCTGCACCAGCTACCCTCACTGAGCAAGCATTCCTTTGTCATTTATGGCTGTTTGAGATTATGGCAGAAGATCAGCCTGTAGTTCCTCATTGAAGAAATGCAGAACTCGATCAGTACTTCAGCAGTTAATCTACAAGACAAAAACAATTATTTCAATCTCCTACAATATCTTTAACTGTCAGAAGAGACTACTAATAGCAGCAGCAGTAAAGTCCTCTTAAGAGGTTAACTATATTGAAAGGTATTCTTCTGCCTGAAAAACCTATCTGTAACCTAAAGGCAAAACCTTGAAAAGGTTTCAGATGATGATAGAAAACTGGAGAAGAATCTTTCTGCTGAAGATAAATAAACAAATTGAAAAGGAGGATATGTAACAGGACACATCTTCAAGGACTACACCATTCAAATAATCCATTTTCCTCAATTGTGTGCACACACCCTACCCCATCCCATTCCTTTCTCATTTCCTCATATACTGAGAACTAAACATGGAAGTATTTTCAAAAGATCAAACAATCAAAGACATAATTTAAGCTTGGTACTACACTTAAGTACTTTCTTCTTTTCTTTATATACAACATAGTGGTTGTCTGAGCTCCCTAATCTAGAGAAGCAATAGCATATGTTGGAAAAGAGCAAAAAGAACAGACCCAGAAAGGTTTAGATTCAAATACTAACTCCACCATTTTGTAGATACATGACAGTGAACAACTTCCATGTCTCTGAGCCTAGGTTTCTTTACATAAAATAAGAAACTACCTGTACAAGCCAGGTGCACTGGCTCATGGCTATAATCCCAGCACTTTGGGAGGCCAAGGTGGGAGAATCACTTCTGCCAGGAGGTAGAGGCTGCAATGAGTTGTGATTGCACCACTGCACTCCAGCCTGGGCAACAAAGTGAGATCCTGTCGCAAAAAATAATATAATACCTGTACAGGTGTTAAGTTTAACTGAGATAACATATGTATATAGCAGACAGAGAACCAGTCTCCTCTCTTCTTTGCATAATGCTAAAAGACCAGCAATTAGGCTGGGGAGAGAGAGAAGAACTTGTCTGGCAAAATGTTTAATACTTGGTCTCATCATCCTCTGTGAATTCTAATGGTATCATTATCCTCTATGAATTCTAGTAATCTATTTACAAAGCTTTTAGTAAGTTCAGGAAACTACACTGCAGGACTCTATCAATCAGTGTGGTTTTTCAAAGAAGTGTTATTAGTAACATACACCTCCAGGAGGAACATTAAAAA